AATGCAAGAAAGTTAATTTTTTTTAAATTATGGTCGGCTGTGGGCCCCTAAATGGCGTGGGCCCCCCCGCATTGCGGGGTCTGGCGGCACTGTAGTTCCGCCCCTGTTTTGGATTAATATAAACCCATAAAATATGTAGTTTTGAAAATTAACAGAGCAAATTTTTAAATCTCAAAACAGGTTATGGGTGTAACAGTTTAAAATCGACCTAACCTATAATAAACGTTGAGCCGTAGGATTGAACATTGAGTAGTTCAATTCATACAATCACAAAACAGGTCGTGATTGAAGCATTTAACGTTGACAACTTTGATTCTTGTACTCCCAACCCAGGTCGTGTGCCGAAGGAAACTCCGAATGGGTAAAATTGGAGACGGCGGCTGGGAGGTGTGTGACGACCCTGACGTCAGACCCACAATGCCCTGCGTCGTCTATTCCTATGGTATCAACTACGACTTTTCCTTTGATGATGACGTGGCTAAACTTTACGGATGTCAGGTGTACTCTTTCGACCCCAGCATGGAAAAAATAGAAAACCGTGATAATAGGTAAAGTAGATTAAGCATGTATTAAGATAATAGGTAAAGTAGATTAAGCATGTATTAAGATAATAGGTAAAGTAGATTAAGCATGTATTAAGATAATAGGTAAAGTAGATTAAGCATGTATTAAGTAAAAGAAGTCTATAACAGGTAAGGGGTCATCCATTTAGCACGTCCACAATTTTTTGGGGATTTTTTACCACCCTCCCTCCCCCAGCCTGTTCACAAAAATCCAGTTATTTAGCTTATAAAAGTCCATACGCATCCGAAAAAGTCAATTTTATTTCGGACCCCCCCCCCCTCCACGTGTGGACGTCATAAATGGATGAGATACAGCCTGGTTACAGTAGGAGACTATAATCACAAGTAAAGTAGTCCAGCATAAATAAAGTAATAGACGTGTTAGTGCAATGTTACAATAGGTATAGTATGCCAGTATAGTCTGAGTTTGTTGAGGCGCGCCCGGCTGGTGGGAGGAACATCCTACGTTGGTAATGCCAGTGTCACGAGAGAGTTGGCCATTTGTTCTTTACAACAGTTAATGTAGGATAAGGGCGCATATAGCTATCGATAAAATATAATAATAACTTACCAGTTCTCCTAAGTAGATCGTATTTTTCTCTTTATTGCCACTAGTATCAAGACTTTGGCCTATCTATAATACTATACCTTACCCGTGCGATTACACCTGTCCTTGGATCTAATAACATCAACTTCTATAAAATCAATTTTTTTTTTGTTCTTTAGATCTGAGAGCATCAACATTTATAAAAATCCAACTCTTATGTGATTTGAGATCTGAGAAAACCACTTCTATAAAATCCAAGTTTTATATTTCTTTAGCTCCCTGAACGTCCACTTCTATAAAAATATAGTTTTATATTTCTTTAGCTCACAGAACGTCCACTTCTATAAAATCCAAGTTTTATATTTCTTTAGCTCCCAGAACGGCTAAACTCCAAGTTTTATATTTCTTTAGCTGCCAGAACGTCTATAAAATCCAAGTTTTATATCTCTTAAGCTCCCAGAACGTCTATAAAATTCAAGTTTTATATTTCTTTAGCTCCCAGAATGTCTATAAAATCCAAGTTTTATATCTCTTAAGCTCCCAGAACGTCTATAAAATCCAAGTTTTATATCTCTTAAGCTCCCAGAACGTCTATAAAATTCAAGTTTTATATTTCTTTAGCTCCCAGAATGTCTATAAAATCCAAGTTTTATATCTCTTAAGCTCCCAGAACGTCTATAAAATCCAAGTTTTATATCTCTTAAGCTCCCAGAACGTCTATACAATTCAAGTTTTATATTTCTTTAGCTCCCAGAATGTCTATAAAATCCAAGTTTTATATCTCTTAAGCTCCCAGAACGTCTATAAAATTCAAGTTTTATATTTCTTTAGCTCCCAGAATGTCTATAAAATCCAAGTTTTATATCTCTTAAGCTCCCAGAACGTCTATAAAATCCAAGTTTTATATCTCTTAAGCTCCCAGAACGTCTATAAAATTCAAGTTTTATATTTCTTTAGCTCCCAGAATGTCTATAAAATCCAAGTTTTATATCTCTTAAGCTCCCAGAACGTCTATAAAATCCAAGTTTTATATCTCTTAAGCTCCCAGAAAGTCTATAAAATCCATCTTGTATATCAATTAAGCTCCCAGAACGTCCACTTCTACAACATCGGTGTCAGCGGGGAGACGTACATCAACACCTTAAAAAACTGGAGCCTCTACACCCACGGGGACATCAGGGACATGCTAGGACATCAGAACACCAACATCGACGTCATCAAAATGGACATCGAGAGATCCGAGTGGGGTGCCCTGCCTGAGATGCTCGCTTCCGGTCAGCTGAAGAATGTTCGCCAGCTCTTTGTGGAGTTTCACATCAGGGACGGTAACCGGGATTATCTGCTACCCAAGATTAAGCTCATGCAGGAGCTTGAGAGGGCGGGGATGAAGAGGTTTTACGTTCATAAAAATTTGTACTGTTTCGAAGAGGTGGAGGGATTTCCCGTGATGAGAACCCGGTGCTATGAGGTTCATTATATGAGGCGCTGATTGGGTGGAAACATGATGCGCTGTTTGGGTGGAAACATGAGGCGCTGTTTGGGTGGAAGCATGAGGCGCTGTTTGGGTGGAAACATGAGGCGCTGATTGGGTGGAATACACGAGATGCTGATAGCGTAGAATATATGATGCGTTTAAAGGGTAGTTGTGTAATTTTTTATTGAATGTTTAATGACATTTTTAAATATAAAAATGTGTTGTCCAGTGCTGATATTCTGTAAATGCTGTTCAAATTTAAAGCAAGCTCAAAATATTCGACTGCCTGTGTTTTGTGTGTTAAATGAAATATAAACATTTGAAAATAATTTTATAATTATTTTTTGTTTTCACCCTATGGAAATCGTATTCCTTTCTTTGATATCTAAATATGTATATTTTAATTTTATTTTCTAGTGATAAAAATTATCGGATATATGTTTCTATACCTCGCTTAACAATTTTAATGTTACGAAGCGTTCTCAAACTGCAACACATATGTAACATTACAACTGATTTTGTTCACTTTTAGTGCATGCTATTCTTTCAGAAAATGTTTATTTTAGTAAGTGTATTGATTTCTTTTAAAACGTTAGTCCAATAAAAGACAAGGGGACATTACTGACTCGTCTACAACATCAAATTTAGAAGATGAACACTTCGCAACCACTAACTAGTCGTTTAGGTGTAATACTTTTCTAAGTTTTTCGCAGCTTTTTAAAATATTTTGAAAAAAAAAAGAAAAAAAAAACAACCCCGAGATTAAGCTTGTCTAAACTTTGTAGTATATTTTTATATAACAGTAGGAGATGGCTCCTCCTGTGCATTCGGGTTCTAGAAATATAGAAAACATACAGTCTGGCGAAAATTTCATAGAATATGTTTTATTAGAAAATTATATAAAATTATCAACTCTTTCTGGAAATAGATTGACACTTAGGATGACGACAAAAAAACAACCAAGAACCTCTGCCGACCTTTGGGTTCTCCTAAAGTGGGTGCCCGGGGGTAGCCCACCCCCCACCGGCCTCCCACACCACGGTAATCTACTCCAATCTAGAATATTCTACCCTATTTTATTCTGCTTTACTGTATTTTACCCTCTTCTAACCTACTCTACCTACTCTATTTAGCTTCGAATACCCAACTATCTCATTTAAACTCCACTCTAGAAATGTAATTTACAACAAATTGTTACGATAAGGATTATGTCGCCTTATAAAATGATTGTTTTCTCTCTAAGGGAAACGGCTTAACAAAATATTGTTTCACTACAGTATTTACACGATCAATGAATCCTTCAATAAAGGATTAAGCTAAGATTTTACACACCTCTATATTAGTTCTAAATTACAATTATAATCCTAGATGTAATACTCATACTTACTTGTCAGCATTTCGTGCAATCAATATAATTGTAATTACCCGTGCGTCTAAAATAAACGTAACGGCGTACACAATCACAATTCATCATTACACGAGTACTTAAGCACATACGCACAGACGAAGAACACATTAAAAAATTTTTTAAATTGGATCTATAAAGTGTTTCGACACAAGTAGGTCTTACAGTTAAGTGATGACTACACACACACAAACACACACACACACACACGTGCGCACACGCACTCACACACACACACGGGTGCACATACACACACTCACACATGCACACACATATATATATATATATATATATATATATATGGCCTAAATATTAACATAAAATGAATATATCTATATTAACATATATGTTGGATAACTGAGCGGGGTAGGGGAGGTGGGAGGCATCTTTGTCCATTTCGATCAGATGAGCATGTAGCTGTATAACTAACATTATCAATACGTTTTGATATGGCTATACTTTTCCTTTAATGCTAGAACTTTGGGTGCTTGTCCGGCCTTTCTCTTCATCAAAAACCACCCACTAGACCCGCCATTGGTCTTTGAAGTTTTAAAAACCACCCACTAGATCCGCCATTGGTCTTTGAAGTTTTAAAAAACCACCCACTAGACCCGCCATTGGTCTTTGAAGTTTTAAAAAACCACCCACTAGATCCGCCATTGGTCTTTGATGTTTTAAAAAAACCACCCACTAGATCCGCCATTGGTTTTTGAAGTTTAAAAAAAACCACCGACTAGATCCGCCATTGGTCGTCAAAGTTTCTTTAAAATAAAAAAAAAAACACCCTTTAGATCCGAGCTTGGGCGTCGAAGTTTAAAAAAAACCACTCCAACAAAACACATTACCTAACATAAAATTAAAATCTGTACAAAAAATCTTTAATCACGTTAATTATAATGAAAATCTTAATTAGTTAAAGTCATGTGATACGACGTTTACGACTAAGTTTTGTCCATTTTGTTTTTTATTTTACCCAATTATTCCTGATGTCGTATCCAAAGGTGTTTAATTAAAAGAAAAATCAATCGATATCAAATTTAACTCATGTTTTTTTTCCGCTGCCCCTCCAGATATTCATCTTCGATCAATGAACGTTAGATTGATGAACGTTATAATTGATTGTAACAATAGGTAAAATTGACAATTATTGCAACCATTAAAACAATATTTTTGCTCACTTAAAAGATCCCTGAAGTTTAATGTAACAGTTTGGTTACACTTTTAACAGATCCATATGTGTAGGGTCTTTCATGAACATTTATGAAATAATTATATACGTTTTTGTTCTTGCTTTTTTCAAAGAAATTTTTTAGTCAAAGAACGTGTTGCGAGATTGTAAAGTATTAGGAGAGGCAGATAAAAGCGATGTAAGTTTATTGAGTTTTTTTTTCGAATTGACTAGGAAAAATAAAAATATTTTTAAAATAAAATTTTGAATACTGTCTTGAATTTAAGTTTGGAGTTTTGCGTTACTATGGGAAAAAATATTCACTTAAAAACATAATATTTAAATTTAAATCAAATTTAATTTGTACATATAACTATCATGACTATCCATGCAGCTAAAAATACAGGTGGACTGTGAATTGTGGGGAACCAGCCAAACTATCCTGACCATTTAATTTTGACCATTTAATCTTGGCCGTTGTATGCTGTGCGCCTCTTTCAATACAGCCTCGCAAAAAAGATCAACTCGACTTCGACTGTTTCAGGTGACGCCTATACCTCTACAGGTAGACTAATTTATAGTTTTTACTCTTCTTTATAAACTTCTTACCAAACCGATATAAAGAAAAGCGTTTTTACAACAGTCCTTTTCATAAAGCCAATCTAGTGCCGTGCGTGGTCTATTAGTAGATTGCTTGATTGCTATCTTTAAAGTCTTGAATAATCAAATTTTGCGGCTTTATGAGCTAATTAAGAAAGCTCATGGGTTGGGTATATATGAGTTGAGAAAATTATAATCACAGGATATTCATCACACAACCAAAAAACACTACTTCACCTTTTCATTGCTGTTTTTATACATTTTTAGAGTTTTACATTAATCGGTTGTTCACTTTTTCCTTATAAAGATCAGTGTATGACCCAAAATCATGACTCGCGTGTATTGGATCCGAACCATCGTCCTCTTCTGCTGTATCGGGGTGTTAATGATACTCACCACTCAGATTCGGAGTGTCTGGTACTTCAGCCAGGACGAGGAAAGCTCTGAAGTCATAGGTCAGTGTGATCACTTAAATCAAACCTCTTTAAAACCACGGCCGGACGAGCCCACAAATGTTACAGGCCGGGTTTGTATGCTACAGTCCTAGCACTTTGTCACAGACTGAATAGATTTCTGTCGTTTATCTTGAGCCAAAAAGACCGTCATTGTCTAGAGGTTTTATAAATGATAACTAAACTAGCAACAGTATATAATGTATTCAAACAGAACAGGAGAAGTGTTTAGATGTTATGGTTTATTGATTGCAGTGTTGACATAATGTTTTATTACACCAACTCTTATGGTCTATTCAGAAGTTTAGCGAGGATATACTCTTATCGCTTATGAGACCAGCGTAGATGTATCTCTGACTGGCTTGTGTATTTACCTGTCCTATTATCCTTGCTATTCCCACTGGACAATGGGTCCAAGGTTGTGAACGAATAAATTATCACCCCGCCCTACCTTCACTAATGACTGGTCAGCATACAGAGTAGTAATGTCATATCAAAGCTGTTTCTTTGAAACGGTCATTGATTTGACCGTACCTAAGATGTACCACAGAATTACCTTCAGGAAATAGGTTGTCCTCCTGATTCTACTGGTAAAACTTTACACCCGAGACACTAGTGCGAACTAGTGATGATCTGTTTGTTGAAGTCCACGCAATGTGGGCTCAGTAGTACACCATAGACCTTTAAAACAATTACCAACGTGTATTCAATGGGACGGAGTGGTCTAGCGGTAGAGAGCTGGACTGCTAACCCGTAAGTCTCGAGTTCAAATCCGGGTTCAAGTCAGTAGACCGTCCCTGTGTCCACCCAACTCTGATGAGTATCTAACTCATGTTAGGGAAAGTAAAGGCGGCTGGGCATAGTGCTAACCACACTATCTCTTCATATGCGGTGGTCACTGAAATTAAGTGAACTCTACTTCACTTGCCCCATAGACCGTCAAGTTTGAAAGGGAAACTACTTTTAAATGTATTTAACAAAAGATTTAACTAAAGCTTAATTCTATAAATACATAATAAATACATAATACTCTTACAGACTTACAAAAGACTAAAAGTAGGGTGAAAGTACCAATCAGCAATGTAGAAATTGAAGACTTTGGTACAGGTATTCATTTTATTATTTTTGTTTCAAACGATATAATAACATTTCATGATTTAATAAAAATCTATGTTTTCTATGACTTTACACAAATGTTAAAGATTTCATCAACTGCCACAAACAACTAAAATTTAAAAAAATGACCTCATTGAACTTGTTGCCAGGGCCGCTACAAAACTTCCGGCAGGTCGCACATGCGTACAACCTGGCAGATCTCAACGTGGACAACATGACAGACGAGGAACTGCGCATGACCATACACGCGTACCCAGACAACGTTGACGTGAGTACTGTCTGGAACGTTTTGTCTTTGTTGTTGTTACCGTCTAACAATATAGATTTGGGTGTATGAGCCTTGTGTAGGTCAACACATATATCAACATTGATGTAAATAGGTTTCAACTTCTCCATTGACGCCCCGAGCCCACAATAAGCGAGACAGCGCTACTACATTGGGCAGGTATATAGAGTGAAGAAACCGCTCAGGGGAGATAATACTAACAACCCATTCCCTGATTAGATCTTGTTGTATTTCAACTTTGCTGCACAAATATGTAATGCTTCTTTTTGCTTTGAGCTAGTCTGTGCAAAATTTTGTCAATCTGTTTATCTAGCTATAAAAAAGTGATTATTCTCTCCTATATATAGCTGCAATATATTGATTTAAGCCTTGAGAATGTTAGAATTTGAGATCAGTTATTCCACTTTTAAACATATTAGCTTGTGACTGCTTGAATATCTCAAAGTCAGAACCTTTCATTTTTAACGTAGCTTATTTAGCTTGGTAGTGTTTGCCTCTCATCTCACAAAAAGATTTGTCACCTATATGCTTTTAATACATACTCGACCTTTGGTTTCTTCCACGGTGGAGATGTTTATGGTGACGTTATTTGTGTACAGGTGACAATGTGTTCGAACTTTCAAACCTGACTGGTCGTTAGAGAAATTCAACAACGGGCTGTTCTGCTGACATGCTTTTGTAACGGCCACGTTACCGGAGCTATGCTTTCATTTTAGGAATCCAAAGTTTTCCGCAGTATTTAACGTTGATACATTTTTACTAATTTAATCCTTAGACCGGGAACAAAAAAAGGTGTTTTAAAAAGATCGTTTAGGTTAGTAAACCATACAAAATGTAATACATTGAACGATTTAACACTAACAAATTTGTTTCATGTTCTCTCAATCCAGGTCGTGTGCCGAAGGAAACTCCGAATGGGTAAAATTGGAGACGGCGGCTGGGAGGTGTGTGACGACCCTGACGTCAGACCCACAATGCCCTGCGTCGTCTATTCCTATGGTATCCACTACGACTTTTCTTTTGATGATGACGTGGCCAAACTTTACGGGTGTCACGTGTACTCATTCGACCCCAGCATGGATAAAGTAGAAGACCGTTATAACAGGTAAAGTAGATCAAGCACGTAGAAAGTAGAAGACCGTTATAACAGGTAAAGTAGATCGAGTATGGATAAATCAGAACTCGTTACAACCGGTAAAGTCGTATAGTTTTTATATTGTCTATGGATGTAGTCTTAATATAATAAAATTTGAACTAGCTAACAATTCTCAAAAAAAAAAATTATAAGGGATTGCGTAGCTGGGAATGGAGAGGGCATGACTGCTCTCTCAAAATTTCAGAGTTTGGACCCCGTGCAGGTGAGTTTCTTTAGCTGGGGTCAGCAACCTATGCAGGAGAGGATAGAAAACATCGAAATCAAAGAAACACTTGCCTTGCTTATATTCCTGTGTGAAAGAAGGCTATGAAAACAAACCCAGAATGAAAAGTAGGCTGAAGTCAAAGACAACATTCCATAGGGCACATTTCATGTTGTCACATGACATTGAGCTATGGTGTGGGAAATTATCTCCAAACATTAAAAACAAGAACGAATGAGATGAAGAAGAAGAACGTGTTCATTCCAATTTTGTTGCACGTATTACAACCCAAGCCCCACTAAAAACTTTAACCCTAACTGTAATGCTAACGCTTTAATCAGGGTATATTATAATCCGACTGTAACTCCAATCCTAATTTAAATCTTAAAAATAAAAAACATCTTGTTTAACTATTCAAATGTAATTGCAAATTTTATATTCTTTCAAATCTGAAAACGTCCATCTCGAAAAAATAAAGTTTCTATTTCCTTCATGATTTGAGAACGTCCACTTCTATAAAATAAAAGTTGTATACCCCTCCAGATCTGATAAGGTCCATTTCTACAAGATCGGCCTGGACGGGGAGACGTATGTCAACACGAGAAACTGGAGCCTCTACACCCACGGGGACATCAAGAAGATGCTGGAACATCAGAACACCAACATCGACGCCATCAAAATGGACATTGAGAAATCCGAGTGGGGCGCCCTGCCTGAGATGCTCGCTTCCGGTCAGCTGAAGAATGTTCGCCAGCTCCTAGTGGAGTTCCATGTGAAGGACACTGACCGGGATTATCTGCTGCCCAGGGTCAAGCTTATGCAGGGTTTGGAGAGGGCGGGGATGAGGAAGTTTTACGTCCATAAAAATTTTTACTGTTCCGGGGAGGTGGAGGGATTCCCTGTTATTAGAACCCGGTGTTATGAGGTTCATTATATGAGGCGCTGATTGGGTGGAATGCATGAGGCGCTGTTTGGGTAATATATATGCGATGATGATCGGATAGATTCAGTGGCGTAGCGAGGTCGGGTGTCACCCGGTGCGGCACTTAATGGTGTCACCCCCCCAGAGGCATAGAGACCCTTCCCAGGGACAAACTTTCAAATTTTCGATTTGCACCCCCCCCCCCCCTCGAGTTTTCGATTTGCACCCCCCCCCCCTCAAACTTTCGATTTGCACCCCCCCCCTCGAGTTTTTCTCTATATATTTTGCTATTTTTTGCCTTGGTGTCACCCCCCTAAATGGTGTCACCCGGTGCGGTCCGCACCCCCCGCCCCCCCCTCGCTACGCCCCTGGATAGATTACAAAGAGCGCTTAGTATGTGGTATAAATGCAGCGTTTCTCGGTTATCTTTTGAGGCGATGATTGGGTGACTTGTTGACTTACTTTTGAATGTGGTGATTCGACGAATCAAGAAAAAAAAAATGAGTTTTCTTTAGCCAACACATATAAATATATATATATATATATATATATATACATATATATATATATATATATATATATATATATATATATATATATATATATATATATATATATATATGTGTGTGTGTGTGTATGTATGTATGTATATATTACTAATCGACATATGAGATCTATAGTTAAATGGTTCGTTTCTATAATTCTTAGTATCCGACAAATGAGATGTATAGTTAAGTGGTTCGATTCTGTGTATAATCATTGAGCAAATAGTTCTATTAAAACAATTATTAAATACATATATTATAATTGATGAGCATGAATTAGTAATATGTACTATGTATGGTATATGATACTTTCAAATACAATAAGTTTTGAAATACACAATGCGATGCTTGCTTTGGTTGTGTTTGATATCATCTAGGGATGTAAAAAAGTGAAGTGAAGTAGAGTTCACTTGTTTCTGTGACCTCGGCATATGAAGAGATAGTGTGGTTGGCTGGTATGCCCAGCCGCCTTTACATTCCCTTACGTGAGTTAGGTACCCATCAGAGTTGGGTGGACTCAGGGACGGTCTTATGACTTGAACCCGTATTCGAACTCGAGACTTGCGGGTTAGCAGTCCAGCTCTCTACTTCTAGACCACTCCGTCCCCCTAACTAGGGATGATCTTACGCTTTTTAAAGACTCTTTAACTTCCTTCTCACATTGTCATATATGGTCATAAAAGTTACCTCCCCCCCCCCTTCAAATGCATCGCAGCTCAGCATACACACGTTAAATGAAATCGCTATTTATTTCAAAATATTAAGTTCAGCTTTGTCAATATTATGTACTTTGATCCATTTATATTATTTTAAAACTGGTTCATTTAAATTCGAAACTTTTGCTAAAAATTTAGTTTGAACAAGTTCTTTTAAAAATGCACAAGTGATGTTACACTTTTTTAACGATAACATTCCCCCAACGTCTCACTGAATGTCCTGAGTTCGGATCCCAGGCTCGAATCCGTACATCTTCCCTGAGTCTGCCCAGCTCTAATGGGTACCTTACTCACGTAAGAAAAGTAATGATGGCAGTGCGGACCCTTCATACGCCGAGGTCACTGAAAATGTGAACTCTGCTTCACCTGTCTCATAGATCGAAATCCCCCTTCTCAATTAGTTCGACATAATTTTAAAAAAAAAACCGTAAATATGTTACCAAAAACAAAAATTACCTGATAAGTAAAATATATCTTATGTTTCATAAATTTTTCCAGTTACGGATATTATAATTATCATTTTACTTAACTAGTTATTTGATTGTACTCTTTAAACATACGTATATATCAGTGGCGGAACTAGAAAAAAAAGGCCCCCCCGCAGAATTTTTTTTTGGGCCCATATATATATATATATATATATATATATATATATATATATATATATATCAGTAGCGTACGCAGGGGGGGAGCAGGGGGAGCGGCCGCTCCCCCTCTGGCCATTTTCAGCAAAGTGGCGCCTTTTTGGAAACTTTTTAAACTCAAAGTTTTAAACAATGATATTTGTTAAAAAAAAAATTTTTTTGGTCGGCACATCTATGTAAATCACAAGATTTCTTTTCATGAAGCAATTAAGCATTATTGTACTAGTCTAGTAGTGTCTACGTTTACAACACGTATTAACAGCTGCATCAGTTTGCCATTCTAAAAATAACCATTACGATGCATTGCAATGTTTAAAAAACCTCTACGGTAGTATCACTTGGCAAGAGGGGTGTTAAGTTTAAGGCAACTGTATAATATATTTGCTTACGAATAATTGAATTAGAAAAAGTTATACATAAAACTTCACACATAATTACTTTATATATACAGTTTGAATCGTGTGATTACTTTTTTTTAAAATTACAATACAGAAACAAATACAACTGATGTGGCACCTCTATTTAAATTTACTTATGGGCAAACTGCGTAGTGGTGGGGAAATTTTGACAAGGTCGACAACGTCATCACGATGAAGTAGTAGTATTCTTACAGTTTGGGCGATAGTGATTACGATTACAAATTATATGAAACAGTTACAACCCCCTCCCCCATGGACCCCTCTGTAAAAAAATATTGTCATAATACCACTGCTACTTATTTAAATCTATTTCTGTAATATATATTTGTGTACAGGGGCGTAGCGAGGGGGGGGGGGGGGGCGGGGGGTGCGGACCGCACCGGGTGACACCATTTAGGGGGGTGACACCAAGGCAAAAAATACCAAAATATATAGAGAAAAACTCGAGGGGGGGGGGGTGCAAATCGAAAGTTTGAGGGGGGGGGGGGTGCAAATCGAAAACTTGAGGGGGTGCAAATCGAAAGTTTGAAAGTGTGTCCCTGGGAAGGGTTTCTATGCCTCTGGGGGGGGGTGACACCAATAAGTGCCACACCGGGTGACACCCGACCTCGCTACGCCACTGTTTGTGTAATATATATTTGTGTAATATATATATGTATGTTTAGAACAGTCATCTAAAAAGTGACATTATGTTCACTGAGTTGGTTACCCCCCCCCCCCCCCCCCACACACACACACCTCACACTATTGTGTAGAGTGACATTAATGTCACACCTAGGTATACACTGGGTTGGATAATTGACCTAAAGTGAACGGACAGAGGTGAATAAAGTTGAACCCACCACCCACCCCCCCAACCCACCCCGAACTGATCAGTTAAGTACATGTAGAAAGACGCGTAATGATGTACCAAAGTACCATGCCGCCAGAAAATTAGCTTTTTAAACGTATAACTCTGGGAATATTGTTTTTGCAATTACCAGTAAAATACCAGTTAAAAGGTGTGTGTTCAATACAGTGATCTAACCCATAAGAACACAAAGAAGCAGTAGTTAATTAAAATATATGATCGGAACTAAAACACCGATATTTAGCTAAATGTAGGCTGTTGTTCCTAGTGGGTTTCTAATACTACTAATAGATCGAAAAGCGTGTTTTTATACCAACTCTGATTTTAAAAACTTTCATTATGTTGTAATACTTTAGCATTTATAATGACGACATATTAAATTCTGATTATAGACAAAAACATTTTGTAAACACGAATATTGCTAAATAATTTCATTATATTCGAAAGTAATTATTTTTTTGTTTTGACATTTATAATTAAATGTGTAGATATATAGGCCTACATATTTATATTAAGAGAGTGATTATTTCCCCTATTTCACTTGTCTTAAATAATTTCCCAGGAATTATTATGTAAGAAATTTTTTTGCAAGAATTACAAAACAGATTGTGTAACGTTCGTTGTTTTTGGTTGTAGTGTGTGTATATATAGATCTATATATTTTTGTTTAGATTGATAAAAATTTGTGTGTTTTGTCTTATTTCTTCAGAGTGCTACTTTCAATTATTTTACTTCATAGCGAAGTAATGACGTACAGCTAGTAATTTTATATATATATATAATACACGTATATAGAACGTGTTAAAAATTCGGCGACTTTTTTTTATCTTTTCGCTCCCCCTACAACGAAAACCTGGATACGCCTCTGATATATATATATATATATATATATATATATATATATATATATATATATATATATATATATATATATATATATATATATATATATATATATGGAAAACAAAGGTCGCACTAAATTTTTTTTAAAAAATGTATCCGGTACCCGAATAAATCAGAGGTTTTCCAACACACGAGCTGGCCCCATTCAGTTTTCCATGTGAGAAGCACGGACTCTCTAAATCTAGTCCAACACTCCAAACTGACGCCGGTTTTTATGAGGCTTTCATCAAAACGTTACCAACCGTGTGCCCTGTTTTCCAGAAGTTGAATTAAATGTTAACAATATCGGCAGTTCATTTCTTGGATCTTAGGGCGCGGGTTTGTCCACACTACCAACTAGACACGCCAAGGCATGCTGTAAGTCCCTCGGCGACGACCCAGGTGTCAGGGGAGTCACGGGGCTCTTGGAGCTACCGGTTACATTACTGCACGGGTGATGGGTGCAACACATTGTTTCTTCCGGCAGAGCTCCCCCTCCCCCACCCCTCCTCCGAAAACAGTCTACCCAGGAAGAAAAATTGGTGCGACACCTAATTAGATTTAGTCATCGAGTGTTGTAGCGAGACTTATTCCTAGTGTTGTGGGAACTTTTAAACGACTGTCTGTGGGGGGCCAACTTGCTCATATGTGATGCGCTCAGGATGACACTGACGCCGGTTGTATTCAAGTAGTAACCTCATCCGTTTATGCAGGATCACGGGGCGCTAAATCACATATTTTCGTTAGGAGTCCCCACTCCAATATGTACAAATGTTAGGCCTATGACAGAAACTTTTGCGGGGCTGTACTCAACAGCTTCCCAAGTTTTCATGGCGATTGGGTGAATGATGCAGTAATGCAAAATAGACAGAAAAATGTTTTTCACATGTACAACTGTATGTGGCCAGGTCACGCGTTGGATAACCTTCTGATTTAGAGGAGGGGGGGGACTAACAAAAAGCCAGACCCTCACACACCCCCACCCCAATGACGTCATTTATAAATAGTAATTGACTATTAATAATGTTCAATTAATTCTAAACGTAATTAATTTCTAAATAATTATATAAAAATAATCTTACCTGCCCTGTTTTGTGAATTAGATGTGCCTAATACTATGAAAGTAAATTAATATTTGTTGACTAGATCTAGTGCTGTCTAGTGTCTGACAAAATGTGCTGAAGCGTTGAATCGTACGGTTAGGAAGTAGTTCATAAACGATACATTTATCTCCTCGATACTTGTGAGGTTGAGAAAGAGGGGTGGGATAGGGGTCGGCTCGGGAAAAAAACTTGAAAGCGACATCAAAACGCCTTGATCTATGTACGTCAGCATCGCCCATTGTAAAACTTACTCAGGGGAGATTATTCCAAGTATAGACTTTAAAAGTTTACTATGATATTTCTCGTAAAAGCAAAAACAAGTAACCGTATATAAAACTGAAGTTTCTAGTATAGTATTATATTATTTTTTTATTATTTGTAGGATGCAAGATACAAATTCAACCACTATCACAAACACATTAACATTGAAAAATGTACAAAGGATTTCGGGTCCCTTACCAATGCCGCAAAGACGAAAGCCCACTTCATATGTAGCGGCTTTTCGTGCTATGGACTTTGTTGTTTTTTAAAAAGAATTTTGCCGACGACAGCGTGTGTTTGATTGTAGGGAAATAGAACTCGGCCTTGACAATGGTCAAAAAATACAACTATAAATAACTGTTTAAAATATGTAAAAAAAATTCGACAATTTTTGAACCCCCTTTTTGGTCCCCATCCCCTGCCTAATCCGCGACAGTACACTTTGGAGGATCGGTTAAACAGTTACGTGTCCCCTATTTAGCTATTAAAGAGGTGGGGGGCAACGAGTCAAAGAAGTCATTCAAATTTGAAGAGTTGCCTATATTTTACACTGTAGTTTGTGTAATGGATTTCATCTGTTGCGGAAGAGCGTGGTATAGTGACTGTAAAATAAAGATAATCGTACCGCAGCTAGTGTTTTTCTTTTACAAACCAAATATTAAGGCAAAAATGCACGAAAATTAAATTCAAAATTTAAAAAAATATTAATTTTGGTCAGCCGTGGGCCCCTAAACGGCCTGCCCCCCCCCCCCCCCCCGCGCATTGCGGGGTCTGGCGGGACTGTAGTTCCGCCCCTGTTCATCAGGTAAATGAACAACTACTGACTAGTGTCTTTAACAAAATGTGCAGGAGTGGTCAGTTTACAGTTCAGTAGTTCATAGACGGTTCGTTAATCTATGCATTACATCTTATTGTAAGATTAAGGGTGTGGTGAGGGGTAGAGGTGAGGGGTAGGGGTGAGAGGGGGCAGGGGAGAGAGTTGGGAAGGTTCATTGGAAGGGGACAAGAAAGCGCCGATGAACATCTACATCAATAGTGCCGACTTTTTCCGGTCGTCTAGAAGACCAGGATAGTCGCCGCAACATTTCCCCATCCCGATTTCAAAATGTACCGGCACAGTCAAATTTCAGATGCTTCGCTGAAGGGAGATAACTTAAACTTTTACAAGTTTATTGATACAGTTGTTAAAGTAAAAATGAACGCAATTATAAATGTACGAGATCGAAATAAATAATTATATTTTTTGTAGAATTCAGGCCAGTAATTTAAACACACAATCATAGATATGTATTTTAATAATGTAAACAATATAACAATGCTTTTTTGTTCTCCTAGTCGACGCAACTAAAAAGAACGGTAGGCTGCGTCTTTGAAGTTGACTTTATGTCTGGCGGTCTCTCGAGCTATATAGTCTGTGCATTTTTATCAAAGACGTTTGCCGACTATCGTGTTTGTTTGTAACTGTAGAAGAAAGATAACTCGACCTCCACCTATTTTTTTTTTTAAATTTTTTTTTTTAAATAATTTAGCCAGGATTTTTGGGCCCCCAATCGGTCTGGGCCCCCCCGCATTGCGGGGTCTGGCGGCACTGTAGTTCCGCCCCTGGTATATATATAAATACACATACGCATATACAAACAATTTTGAATAATCAAATAAATGTACATGGATCTTCTGTGGGGGGGGGGGATCTTTTTTAAAAGAAAAATTAATGAAATCCTGCCCAAAATAAAAATCACACCATGTGCAGATAACTTTACCCTGGGTTATGCTAAAACTTTCGAGAGAGTTATATACCCTTTTCGTAAAAAAAAAGTTCTGATTTAGAGCATTTATCTTCTTAATCCACTAGATAAAACTGCGAGGTCACAGAAATTCGATTACATGTCTTTTATCGATTACCTAGACTTACAATACGAGAAGATTACGTATGGTGTGTTTGAAGAAAAAACTGTAATCTCGTTGCACTAGATAGATCAAAGGAAAAAAAACAGATAATTTTGGGATTTATTTATATCTACTGCTTTCAAAATGATCCTGTTAACTTATTTTTCAATATTTGAACTGAATTAGCTAGATATATAATATTTCGAGGATTTCTTTATCTTGTAATTTTTTTTTTAATTCAGCCTTGAAACATTACATTTGTGTCCGTGTGGACGAGTTGAAGATACTTTTGATAGTCAACGACGATATTAGATAAAGGTATAGTCAAGTGGTAAGTGGGGGGTGAGGACTTTCAAGAATGACGCTATGTGGTCTTACAATGCTGATGATGTGTGAAAACACCAACCATTCAATGACACCATTCACCACTTAATTTGGGGTCACAGTGTGTGACAACACCAATCATTCAATCACACGATTCACCACTTAATTTGGGGTAACACTCGGGGTTATCGCACCGGGTGACCCCCGACCTAGTGACGTCACTGAAGCGGAGGAAATCACCGATAAACATACAGCTCTACTCCAAAGAAAACTGTATATTGACTAGATATAAAGTATTTACTAGTTCCCACAAAACTAAACCATATACCTATATAATGCCTAGAAACAAAGTATCTACTAATCCCCACAAAACTAAACCATATACCTATATAACGACTATAAACAAACAACTGTCTAATCCCCATAAAATTAGACCATATGCCTGTATAATGAATATACACAAACGTCTATCTTATTCGCACAAAACTAGACCATATGACTCTACTATGCCTGTAAACAGAAACTGTCTAATTCCTGAAAAACTATACCACATGATAGTATTATGCCTATAAACAAAAACTGTCTAACCCCCAAAACTAGACAATATGACTGTACTATGCCTATAAACAAACAACTGTCAAATCCCCGCAAAACTTTACATTATGAATGTATTATGCCTGTAAACAAAAACAGTCTAACCCCCAAAACTAGACAATATGACTGTACTATTCCTGTAAACAAAAACTGTCTAACCCCCAAAACTAGACAATATGACTGTACTATGCCTGTAAACAAAAACTGTCTAACCCCCAAAACTAGACAATATGACTGTACTATGCCTGTAAACAAAAACTCAAATCCCCAAAAAACTAGGCCACATGATAGTATTATACCTATAAATAAACAACTCTCTAATCCGCACAAAACTTTACATTATGACTGTATTATACCTATAACAAAAACAGTCTAATCCCCACAAAACTAGACCATGTCTTACAGTCTGACAGTCAACACAGCAGACACTCGCCACCGCGTATATTTAAACTGTCATATCAGCCCCCCCCCCCCCTCCCAAATGTTAGAAAACAACCCGACGTTTATTCTTACAAAATCCTGGCCCACTATACCTTCCTTGCCTTGCTTCATGTCAGAGTTTCTCGACTAGATCCAGTACTAGCGGATCTGACGGGGTAGGTGTGCTATTAAATTAATATTTATTTGTTTTTCATGTTTCCGCATACAAATAATGATTTTTCATTTTATTGGTACACGTAATTTCTTCATTTAATGAGCACATTGTTTCATTTATTGGCTTTGTTTGCATTATTCACTAATTAGAAAGGGGAAATCAATAAATGACTTCAGGTGATTTTAACCAGGATTTAGAGCCGTCACTTTCGTTTTCAAACAAAAAAATTGTTTGGTTTTTTAATGAACGAATGTAGTTTTAGTGTTACTGGGGTTAGGATTAGAATGTAATCCCAATTCAAGAACTAATTAAATCCGCCGATTAAGCTAGGGACAGGATTATCGAGTGTGATTGTGCTGGGGATTAGGACAACGATTTCAGAGGATAATCACGTGAACATTCCAGTCACCATTCACTAATGTCCCTTAATAAAAATGGTTAGCCTCTAAAGTCGCTATTGTCAAAGTTCGATACATGTTTCTAGTCTATCAAACTCGTGTGAACTCTCAAACGTAGGTACAAAGTTCCTTTCTACGTCGTTTTAACCATTCATAAGAATAAAACAAATATTTACAGAATTATTACTCTAAAACGACTTCATTAAATTTAAACTACTTTTTAAAATCGACTTGTTAGAGATTATAATTGTTTCTTTACATAGAAAAACAAAATATGTAGTCAATGACACTGAACCACGCCCACCTCTCCCAAAATATGTGGTCGATGACACTGAACCACGCCCACCTCTCCCAAAATATGTGGTCAATGACAATGAACCACGCCCACGTCTCCCAAAATAGTCAATGACACTGAACCAAACCTCCCCTCACAAAATACTTGGTCAATGATATTGAACCACGCTCACCCCTCGTTAACAAGCCCCCTCCCCCCGCCACCCCCCACCCCCCCCCCCCCCACCCCCACTACAAAAACCTCCTCGTGTTCACCATATAATTTATTAATCGACTAGCTCTTGCCTTCGGCTATTAATATATTTTTTTAATGATTATAGATTTAAAAGATAATTTTCCCTTTTTCTTTGTTTTTTTTATTTTATTTATTTTGGAAATTAAAATATCCACGATGTAATAAACGGAAAACTAATTTCAGTTAAATGTATTATTTAACTTTTTATTGAATGTACTCTTATAAATAGGAACCATGAGATCTAGTATATCATTTAGAGATTTTTAGTTTATTATTAATACGGGTTCAATACTTCGACCTGCTTGTGTTTAAAGGCGCGTATCTCTAATTAGGCCAAAAATAAAATACCTCAACTAACAAAAATGATGTTAGAAAGTGATTTATAAAAAATACATCTTCTAAATTTGTTTTTTCTTAACCGGGCAGTAAAAAAAAAAATCAAGCGGCTTTTTTTTCAATTAAAGGCAATTCTTCAGTCAACACATATGAGGAAATTCAAAAAAAATTTGTAATCTAATCCTATGACAAATATTATTCTCATATCAAAATCAGCCAAGCGTGGATTATGTAAATAGACGTGACCGCCGTCTACCCAATGTCAATTTGAACGGGAAACTCCGTACATTTAAACATATTTTCTTCCTTACGCTCTAGCGTTACTTCAAAGGGTCCCGATACTCAAGTTAAACCCGAACAACAAAATACGACCAAGTCAGACTATTGTATATTCGAAGGAGAGAGGGGCATTTATTTGGAGTTAATTAATTTGAAATTGGTTTTGGGGGACGGGAGCTTTGATGTTTTTTAAAACTCTAATTCAATTTCTCAAAGACTCAATCTTCGCAGCTGGCTGTAATGCCGCGTTTACACTTGCGACATGTATACTATACATGTCTAGGGAACAAAATCGCTCGCGAAAAGTTAATGCAAGATCTATATGAAAACGTGTTTCCCTCGAAACAAGTGTACTTACTTGCTGCCAGTGTGTCTCCTACATTTGTACAGTATACACGCAGCAGCAGTAAACGCGATGTCGCGCGTAAAATACAGTTTTGTTTGCAGTTACTTTTGTAATACGTTTTCTTTACTTCCGGCAAGCCAGAAAATGTTTTGTCTTTTAATTGATTAGCCTGATCGAACTACAATCAAGAAATAATAATTATTATTAATACATTACTATCATAATAATCATGTTTATAATAGTTATAATAACAAAAAGAATTAAATATAATAATTAAAAAAAAACAACTTATGTTTAAATCACCCTTTTAAGGTTGTGTGTTAATAAGTTTTATTTCTAAATATTTTTAAATTATATATATATATATATATATATATATATATATATATATATATATATATATATGTATATATATATATATATATATATATATATATATATATATATATATATATATATATATATATATATAGGTCCTATTCGTTATCTGAATAAAAGCTCCTTGTTCTACACATATCTTCAAAGCAACTACTACCTAAAGTAAATGTAAGTCTGTTTGCTAGCAAATAAAACCCTATCCCCCTAAACGCAGCCATTTCCTTAAGAAAATAGAAGACTACGCCCATGACGAGTACTGAAGCCTGTGTAAAACCTTTTTAGGCAAACTGCTTTAAAATGTTTTAGTTATGTGTAAATGTTTGATAGTATGGACAAACTGAAAAATTTACATTAAATTATTAGCTTTTTTTTTATTAAAATATTACCTTTTTTTGTATTTTATTTAAATTTACATATTCGCTTTAATTTTTTATTTTTTAAGTAATATTAGCAAGTTTGACAAACATGAAGAAAAGTTCGGTTAACTAAATTGAATTAGGGAGGTAGGATCTTAAAAGTGTGTCTTTTTTATTAGGCCGATAATGTATAACAATTATTTTTAAAAACACGCTTAAGTGGCAGTATTTGAATGACATTTTAAGAAAAGAAACATAATTTTTTAAAATTATTTTTTTTTCTTTTCTAAAGTATGAAAAGATGTTTTTATGAACTTTAAATTATTTTATTAGATAAAAAATGATAAAGAGAACATTAATATGATAGTTTGCTCCCATAGCCGTAAAACCAAATATATGGGAAGTAACCACTGACTACACATAAAGAATCACATTCCAGTACTTTCTGTCCCAGTGTAATTACAAATAGCTTATTCTAGGCGTGGTTTTTTTCTGCACTTGGATTAATCCTCTTTACTCCTTGTGAAGCACAGGGGCCTTAACCATTATCCCCCCCCCCTTTGTATGGTCCCCAGCTCTACAATCTTATACTAGTGTGTTCTCTCCCAGAAAAAAAAATTTCTATCGTGAAAACATTTCTAGCCTCCCCCCCCCCCTCCCCCAATGCTGGAATTAAATAATTACACTAACTTTCTGTCAGTAGGCCTATTTGTTATCTTAGAAATTAAACTAATTTAATCATTAAAATGTATGCGATTCCTCATATAAAATGTTTATTTTCTATTTCAAATAAAAGCGTTTTATTTTTTTTATTAGTGGTTGTGTTTTATTCAATACTAATATGTGTGTCCTTTCATCAAACTATAGCTGAATCCTTTTTTTTGTCATTTGTACTATAACAAAATGTGTATGTTATCTTATAAATGGTCTTGTTAACTAATTTATTACTGTAAATATTTTACCCTATAGTAAAGTTTGTATTTAATCCTACCAAATGTTTCCCTACTATCCTAAAGTTATGTAAGGGATTAACAATGTTTATATTTTATCAAAGAGGATATTTTTATTCCATTCTATATTACTATTAGTAATTCATCATATGCCAATTTCGATTTTATTGTTCAATTTTATATTACAGTTAGTGATTTGTAACATTTATGATAAATATTGTATTTATTCTTTAACATGTTGTTCTATCCTATATTAATGTTATTAATTTAACCCTTGAATATTTCAGCTGACCTGCCACAAAAAAATGGCTCGTGTCAACTGGATTCGAACCAGCACCTTCTACGGTCTGGTGGCAGCGTTTCTTCTAGCGGCCATTCTCCTCTACAACCTCTCGCCCGTCCGCGTTGAGGTGGACCGGCGTCAGGTTCACACTAAAGGTCAGTGCTCTAGCACAAAACCTCGTTTTGTTTACAAACTGATGCCATTTTCACGGCTACAAGACATATATCAAAACGTCAAGTATTTGAATTTTTAAAAGGTTCAATGTTACGCTGAAAAATAATACAGGAGTTCATTAATTTGTATGTGTTGAATTTTTTAAAATTAATTTAAACAAATGTATACGGATTTTGGCTTTTTATGTAGGCAGTGGCGTCGTTAGTTTGGGTGTCACCCGGTGTTGCACCTCATGGTGCCAACCCCTCCCTTTTTTTCTTCTCTGTAAATTTTTTTGCATTTGGTGTGACCTCCCCCCCCCCCCACATACACACACAGATGGTGTCACATACAACCAATATTTTCGGCCCAACAACACCTACATAACAACAATAACAACATATCACCAACAGCTGCGCATCCTTTTCTCAACACAGTGATGCCCTGCGCATGCGTATAAGACAGTGATCAAGCGAGTATACATTCTGGGTCACTCATTCTCCCGTTCTGAAATCATTCAATGAAAAAAAAACTAGAATCTTTCAACAGTTCTCATTCTTTAACGAATCTATTTTGTCCCAATTTAAACAGGATACAATTCACGGCTTGATAACTCACAAGTCAATGTTCCTGAGATAATGGATGACTACGGAACAGGTTAATTAATTAATTGATTGTTTAATTAGAAACAAAGTTTACTAGAAATTTTATCGCTTAAAGATGTTGTACTAGATCTAGTAATTTAAGATGTAGGATAAGGTACATCTAAATCATAAAGTAAGTATTATAAGTAAGTTATACATTATTTGAGGCAGTGTTATCAAAAGCAATACGGCTACTGAGGTTAGGGCGGCCTTAATTCCAAATCCGTCGTTATGATGTTGGGAGTTGGGCAGAGGGGATTGGTGGGAGAGATCGTGAAATACATGGCCAACGTGTCAAAAATAAAATAACGCCAGCTGATTACCTATGAGGGGAATTAATTATTACAGGTTATATTAAGAGGGTACCTTGTCCCTTTGTAAGGAGACAATGAATCAGAAACAACACTGTCAGATGGGAACACTAGTAGATACATAACTAAATCTAGTAGCAGGAGGGTACACAAAATAAAACCTTGGGAGCTGGGGGGACGGGGAGTGAGAAAAAATGTAATTTAGATTTGGATTTTTTAATCTAAAATACTTGGTAGTGAAATGAATTAAAATATTTACGTAGCGTAAATACTGAAAAAATTAATTAACTATTTATAAAATATGTAATGAATTTAGTTACAAAAAGAAAGTGGTAATTCATCCATTGGACTGTATCCAACCTAATCCACTCCCAGGACCATTAGAGAACTTCAGACATGTGGCACACGCCTTCAACCTGGCAGATCTGGATGTGGATAGGATGACTGCAGAGGAACTGCTGCTTACCATACATACTTATCCAGATAATATTGATGTAAGTACACTTCATGTATATATATATATATATATATATATATATATATATATATATATATATATATATATATATATAATTTATTTATTTATTTATTTATATATTTGGTTATTTTATTTATTCGTTAATTATCTTTTTTAATTAAAAAAAAATATTTATTTATTTATTTATATGCAGAGTTACTAGAATGAATAGAATGAGATAAAATGGTAGAGATTTTAAGAAAATCGGTGATATTTCATGAATTAGACCATATAAAACACGTATTTTAACGGAAATTTTCAATGGAAAAATAATTATTTTCATTTTCCATTCGAATTAAGACAATAAAACAGTCCAATTAATTTTAGTAAAATAATAACTGTGTGACAAATTACCCATTTACGTTAATTTCAAGTCCTGATTGTCAATTTATTTTACAATTTTGGATACGTAGTTTGTGAAAACTATAACATTTAATAGTTCTATATTCAAACTAGAATACCCGTCATCCGTTGGATAACTGTGGGTTTCGGGGGTCATCCATCAAAAAACATCACGTCTGTCACTCAGAGGCATAGCGACCCTTCCCGGCGCCCGGGGACAAAGTTTTCGATTTGAACCCCCCCCCCCTCAAACTTTTGATGTGCACCCCCCCCCCCCCCCCACTCAAACTTTCGATTTGAACCCCCTCAACCTATCAATTTATTTTTCCAAACCATTTTGGCGCCCCAACATATGTCCCCCCCCCCCCTTCCCCCCTCCACCTCCCCACCCCCCCTTCCCCCCCCCCCCCCCGCCTCCCCTCCCCACCCCCCGCCTCCCCTCCCCACCCCCCGCCTCCCCTCCCCTACCGTCCCCCCCCCCCTCCTCGGTACGCTACTGCAGTGTCACTTATCGTCACAAAAAACAGACCCCACATTCAAATATATGTTTTTTATCTTTTAAAAACACCGAAAACACCGATTTCGGACTATCCCTTCATAAACTGACGTCACAGGTGACCTACTCAACTCTACTTCACCTGCCCAGTGTCCTGCCAAGTCTCAGACAACATGTTTTTATCGTTTAAAAAACAATTCCAGCCGAGCATGTATCTGACCACACTATCCTTTCATATGCTTAGGACAAAGAAACAGATGAACTCTACTTCACCTGCCCTGTATCTTGCCAAGTTCAGATAGGCAACGTTATCATTCACATCTAAAAAAAAAAATTGAAAAAAAAAATTTCATTGACATATTGGTCTAGAACCCGTGCCTCCTGCATGAGAGCTGACTACGCTACCATTTTAGCTATTTACTCGTGACGTCACAAGTGAATTTTTATACTATACTATGTGTCTCCTTATGCAACTTGATTTACGCGTATAGATTCTAGATCTAGATCTAAAAATAAGTCTAGTAGTACTAACTTTCAAATTAAATTTTATCTTAAATAAGCCAAACAAAGATTTATATAAAATAATTAAGGCCTGAAATAGATTCTAGATGTAGAATTTACATTGAATCTAGTGACCTACATCTAGGCTAGATCTAGATCTAGGCTAGATTCATAAATTTCCTTCGATAGCTGATCTTAAGATCTAGAGAAATTTATCGTAAAACTAAATGAAAAAGACAGTTGAAAATTGATATAAGTGTTGGAACGTAATAAATACAGCAAACGGACGTATTGTTAAAGTTATGACCGACAGAAAATTAGATTTAGAGCGCGTTAAACTTTTGAATGGGAACACAATTTTCTTCAATAGACGCCGCCATTTTATTGTACTAAAGAGTAAACAAAAACCTGTGACGTCACTATTCCCACAAAGTTTAGTCAAGGTTTTAACATTTTAAAAAAAAATGGGTTATTCTGCGTAGGAATAAATCAATAAATTAATTAACGTCTTTAAATAAATTTGTGATCAACAGTCTGTCTGCATTAAAAAATTATTCTCTACCTGCATACCATTTTACAGCTTTCCAGATAGAGTCGAACATATCACAATTTTCGATCAGGCAAACAAATAAATATTCAAACATGTAAACAAACTTGACTTTTAGTAGTATACTAGAATACCCGTCATCCGTTGGATAACTGTGGGTTTCGGGGGTCATCCATCAAAAAACATCACGTCTGTCACTCAGAGGCATAGCGACCCTTCCCGGCGCCCGGGGACAAAGTTTTCGATTTGAACCCCCCCCCTCAAACTTTTGATGTGCACCCCCCCCCACTCAAACTTTCGATTTGAACCCCCCTCAACCTATCAATTTATTTTTCCAAACCATTTTGGCGCCCCAACATATGTCCCCCCCCCTTCCCCCCTTCCCCCCTCCACCTCCCCACCCCCCCCCTTCCCCCCCCCGCCTCCCCTCCCCACCCCCCGCCTCCCCTCCCCACCCCCCGCCTCCCCTCACCACCCCCCGCCTCCACTCCCCTACCGTCCCCCCCCCCCCCTCCTCGGTACGCTACTGCAGTGTCACTTATCGTCACAAAAAACAGACCCCACATTCAAATATATGTTTTTTATCTTTTAAAAACACCGAAAACACCGATTTCGGACTATCCCTTCATAAACTGACGTCACAGGTGACCTACTCAACTCTACTTCACCTGCCCAGTGTCCTGCCAAGTCTCAGACAACATGTTTTTATCGTTTAAAAAACAATTCCAGCCGAGCATGTATCTGACCACACTATCCTTTCATATGCTTAGGACAAAGAAACAGATGAACTCTACTTCACCTGCCCTGTATCTTGCCAAGTTCAGATAGGCAACGTTATCATTCACATCTAAAAAAAAAATTGAAAAAAAAAATTTCATTGACATATTGGTCTAGAACCCGTGCCTCCTGCATGAGAGCTGACTACGCTACCATTTTAGCTATTTACTCGTGACGTCACAAGTGAATTTTTATACTATACTATGTGTCTCCTTATGCAACTTGATTTACGCGTATAGATTCTAGATCTAGATCTAAAAATAAGTCTAGTAGATCTAGTACTAACTTTCAAATTTAATTTTATCTTAAATAAGCCAAACAAAGATTTATATAAAATAATTAAGGCCTGAAATAGATTCTAGATGTAGAATTTACATTGAATCTAGTGACCTACATCTAGGCTAGATCTAGATCTAGGCTAGATTCATAAATTTCCTTCGATAGCTGATCTTTAGATCTAGAGAAATTTATCGTAAAACTAAATGAAAAAGACAGTTGAAAATTGATATAAGTGTTGGAACGTAATAAATACAGCAAACGGACGTATTGTTAAAGTTATGACCGACAGAAAATTAGATTTAGAACGCGTTAAACTTTTGAATGGGAACACAATTTTCTTCAATAGACGCCGCCATTTTATTGTACTAAAGAGTAAACAAAAACCTGTGACGTCACTATTCCCACAAAGTTTAGTCAAGGTTTTAACATTTTAAAAAAAAATGGGTTATTCTGCGTAGGAATAAATCAATAAATTAATTAACGTCTTTAAATAAATTTGTGATCAACAGTCTGTCTGCATTAAAAAATTATTCTCTACCTGCATACCATTTTACAGCTTTCCAGATAGAGTCGAACATATCACAATTTTCGATCAGGCAAACAAATAAATATTCAAACATGTAAACAAAGTTGACTTTTAGTAGTATATAGATAGATAGATAGATGTATGATTCGTTTCAATAATAAAATCTGATTATAACTATTGCTTTACGTCGTTATTGAACTGTAATATATTTAAAATCTAATTTGTTATTGTGTGACTATTGACGGATGTCGTCTACTAGTCAAACCCTCTATTTACAAGTGTAAGGCCTGCCAGTAATCAGATGAAATTTGAAAAATTGAACATTATTAAAATGTAAATAATTTTATAGAAACACTGCTCGTGCGTCTATCAATTTAACATTAACATGCTTGAATGAGTTCAACGGTTCAAAATTGACAAATGTAATTCCATATTAGGTCGTTATTCAACATTGACAAATTTGATTGATGTTCTCCCAATCCAGGTCGTGTGCCGAAGGAAACTCCGAATGGGTAAAATTGGAGACGGCGGCTGGGAGGTGTGTGACGACCCTGACGTCAGACCCACAATGCCCTGCGTCGTCTATTCCTATGGTATCCACTACGACTTTTCCTTTGATGATGACGTCGCCAAGCTTTACGGGTGTCACGTGTACTCATTCGACCCCAGCATGGATAAAGTAGAAGACCGTTATAACAGGTAAAGTAAATAAAAAAGAAAAAAAAGAAAATAAATTTTTTTAAATGTGTTTTCTTTTCAAAGAAATTCTTTTAACCTTATTCTTTTCTCGTTATTTTTTGGGGGTACCTTTTCAAGGTTAAAGCCAGACCGACTTATCTGCTTATGCACTTTTGTATTTAATTTAATTTAAATAAATTTTAAGGTCCATTTCTTTATATAAAAAAAAATCCGTTTGTTCCTGTTATTGTCAGATCAGAAAGTGTCCATTTCTTTATTTAAAAACATTATATTCGCTACTTTGTAAGGTCAGACAACGTCTATTTCTTTATTTAAAACATTATATTCGCTACTTTGTCAGGTCAGACAACGCCCATTTCTTTATTTAAAACATTATATTCGCTACTTTGTCAGGTCAGACAACGCCCATTTCTTTATTTAAAACATTATATTCGCTACTTTTTCAGGTCAGAAAACGTCCACTTCTACAAGATAGGTCTGGACGGTGTGACTCACGTCACCCCAAAGAACTGGAGTCTCTACACCCACGGGGACATCAGGAAAATGCTCGGGCACCAAAACACCCCCATCGACATCATCAAAATGGACATCGAAACTTTCGAGTGGACCTCAGTGCCAGAGATGCTGGCCTCTGGTCAGTTGCAGAACGTCCGTCAGTTCCTGGTGGAGTTCCATGTCGGTGCCGCGACACGGGAGTACCTGCTGCCCAGGGTCAGGCTGATGCAGGACCTCGAGAGGGCGGGGCTGAGGAGGTTTTACGTTCATAAGAATTTTTATTGTTTGAAGCGTATTGAGGGGTATCCTATTATGAGGACTAGGTGTTATGAGGTGCATTATATGAGGCGGTGATTGGTTGAAATAGTGGGCGTGGTTATGTGTGGCGGTGATTGGGTGAAAGAGTGGGCGTGGTTATATGTGGCGGTGATTGGGTGGAAAAGTGGGTGTGGTTATATGTGGCGGTGATTGGGTGAATTAAATGAGTGTTTGAATGTGATTGGATGAAATACACTTGGTGTAGATGGTCTGTTGTACATATTTAAGGCCACTGTTTTGTTGCTACCGGTGTGCTTTGATATTAAAAGTCAGATAGTTTTAACAGATTGATTACACAAGGGTGGTGAATATTTATACAAATTTCCATTGTAAATAGAAACCCTATTTACTTATAGGCCTGATTTTTGAAACAATGTATTACTATTTTCAATTAAAAAAGATTAGACAAATTAATAAATGATGTACAACTTTTTAAAATGCTTAGTAAAACTTTTTTAAAGTAAAAACAATATTGTTACTTTTTATCAAAGTATTATGAAGTTTAAAGAAATGTTTAACTTTATTAACCTTTTGTATAGTATTTAATGTTAATCTATGTTAAACTGAGGTTGAACCTTATTAAGATGTTTTAAATAAAACAAAATGTATGTTTGTTCAGCTTAACAGGTTTTGAGGTGTGTTACTTTCACTTCTCACCACCTCACACATTGTGTGAAAGTTGCCGTGTTGGTTAACTGTCCATCTGTATTTAATTAGTGTAATTTAATTAGCGTATGCCGTAGTTCAAATTTAGACATCTTACACAGACCAAGTGGGTTGCTGCTACATAATATGTCAGTGGTTACATTTGTAGTATTTTCATCTCTTTGATGCTACGGTCATGTCATTATTTTTACTATGGGAACATACAAAATGTGCTTTCATAAGGGTATGCAATAATGCAAATCAGAGGGTTTTTTGTACTTTAAATACTATATAGAACTATACACCTTATAAGATGCACCTAAAAATTGTTTGCCTTACTCCACCTTTCTTTGCCTCCTTTTAATGTCTCAGGTAAATATTTGCATATGGGCTAAGCATATACGTATTTGTTTTTTAATTTTAATACAAATGTATGTATAATTTATTCTGTTTAATAAAATACTATTTTAAAAGAAGAGTAAAGTAGCATGTTATTTATCTAATTCAAATCTTGAGTCATTCTGAGACACACTACGACAAACTAACCAACAAGATGAACGTTTATTGCCCGAATACGATTTATTTACAAAGAAGCTTCAGCGAGGCACATTAAATGACATAAAAATAAAAATTATACGCATAGTGTGTGTTTATTTACAAAGAAGCACAAACGAGGCACTTTAAATGACTTAAACCTAAAAATTATACGTGTAGTGTGTGAGCGAAAAAATGACTGCAGGGCTTAACTGGGCTCAACTAAATATAGCTGCCCTAAACAGACTTCGCCTATCCTTGGAGGCTTCACATGATTAATAAACCGGGAGTGATCTCCCCTAAACTTTCTCGAATATTCTTATTTAAATTAACAGTGGATGGGAACTCGGGCTATAGACATTATTTTTAATCAATTTTAAATACTTAAAGTTTTAAAAATAGAATAAAATCTCGTAGACAAAAGAATTGCACACCAAGTGAACGCCAAATAAAAAAGTGCATAATAGTGCGCAATATTATTAGTACTTTAAAAATTTACATTAGTTTTTTGAGAAATCGGAAGTAGCGTAAATTGCTACTTCCGGTCAACGGAAATTACTCAAAATTTAACAGAAGGTAGAGAATTAGATCTTATACTTACATGTGAAATTTCATTTATCTATCTAAAATAGTACTCAAGTTATAGGCTTTTGAAAAATTCAAAGTAGAAAAAGTACCACTTCCGGTTATCGGAAATCGCTCAAAAGTTGATACGGATCAACGATTTTAATAAAATACTTATATATGAAATTTCATCAACCTAGCTGTAACGGTACTCAAGTTATCGTGTTTACACACGGACACACACACACAGACAGACACACAGACATACGGACAGAATTGCAAAGCCCAGTTTTTCAGACTGGATTACACATAAAACCTCTTAATTTTGATAAATCTGGATTGATAGTTTTTGCCCGATTAAAATAAGTCCTCTATACTTCGGATGTGATGAAAGACTGAGATGTAATACGGTGAAAATTGTTAAAATTTCAAGTGATTTTTGTGCACGATTACAATACTTTCTCTATACTTCGTATATACGAGAAAGTAAAAAAGTAAACCACCCATGTCACCATTATCGTCATTGACAGGCTTATCAGATTTCCATCGCGCACTATACAAATACATAATGTAAATGCATTAGATGCACACCAATACACGCATATCCACATACACACACACACATACACATATATATATATATATATATATATATATATATATATATATATATATTTATATATATATAAATATAATATGTGTGTGTAAATATGTATGTATATATGTTTATATATATATATATATATATATATATATATATATATATATATATATATATATATATATATATAATATATATTATATATATATATATATATATATATATATATATATATATATATATATATATATATATATATATATATATATTATATATATATATATATATATATATATATATATATATATATATATATATATATATATATATATGTGTGTGTGTGTGTGTGTGTGTATGTATAAATTACAAAATTGTGTACCAAAAAAATAAAGAACAAAATGACCCTCGTCTTAATTTATCACACAAACACACTCTAAGATAAGAGTTTTCACTTTGTTTTCAACATAGTGTCGAGGAATCTTTCAACCGTGTCAAAGAGACCACACCCAGTAAAAGATATGCTTGTACTCTATGTGTTTTATTTTTAGGAACCGCCGTGAAACGTTGTGTACCAAGGGTCTACTAACTCTTATGTTTATATGAGTTCAGGTTTTATTAGTGTACGTAATCGTGTTTTATCCTGTTTCCTTTAGCTTTTATATCGTCCCCTTTTATTAATATTTTATTATTTATTCAGTGCATATTTATTTTTATTTAGACTAGTTTTTAGCGCAATTTCCATTCTGGAGAATTGCGTTTATTAACCCGTCATTTCTGGATGTATGAATGAATGGATGGATGAATGGATGGATGTGTGTCCGCAGCTTTAAGTCGTATCTCCTCCTCAATGAAGCAATATCGATGACTAGTTCCAAAAGCAATTATGTTAAGCAAGCTACGAGGATGAGCATAGGCCATAAAAATTCCGGGTTTCTTTCATGTATTTCCCGGAAAAGCCAAAAAACCTCGAAAAAAATGCAGTTTTTGCCCATATCTCGGCAACCAGACCACTTAGCGACTTGAAACATGTACCAATCGATTCCTGTCATAATTTAGAACAATATTGCCGAAGAAAGTTTTCAAAAATATCCTCTCGTTCGGGCACAAATTTTAAAATTACATAAACACCTACAAACCAATCATTCTTCTAGCTTGAACGCACCCCAGCATTATACGTCAGAGCTATTTTTAGATAACATAAGGAAATTGCGCATAAATGTCACTAGACTTTTTTAATTCACTTGTTTTTTATAATCCAGTACAATCTAAAGAAAAAATTTCTATGTTCTATGAATTTTAATTGTTCCCTGTTCAGTTTTATTACTTGATACATTCTAGTTTTAAACATATTTTGTCCAGATTTTATTTGTATAGACCAGTTTTATTATTGTATTAGATTTTTTTTCAAACTTTTAGTTAATTTTAGTTACACTTATATAATATATACACATCATTTTATTATATCCTATAAAAATGCATAATATGCAAAAGCTTATTATAAATAGTGTTGGCTATATAAATGAATTATTTTACATAGTTCATATTTACTCTTTCTTACACACTGTCTATTATAATTGATTTTTTAAAGGAATAATTTTAAAACAAAACGAAAACAAAATCACTGAAACAAGCTATATGAAAGGTATACTATTTTCATTAAAAACTCAAATTAAGACACTACTCAAAAGGTTCTTATAAAAAAACTCAACACCACCGATAACCCTAGTGTCAACACACTCTAATCTGTGCACAGTTGGTGTCTAGGAAATTAAATTGGGCTGGGTAAACAATCCCTTCATACGCCGAGATCAAATAATTGCTTGGTTTATCATCGACCCTGCAAACCTAGGTTTTAATGGTTTATTGCTATTAATTTGTAGTTTGTTTTCTTTAAATGTGATGCAGTTTACTTTGTATTTACCTTACATATAATGTTCACATTTCTGATACATCTTTCATCACATGATCATATAATCCTTACCATGAATTTCCAGGTTCATTAAATGATACTGATATGTCTGCTATTAATGATGTAATTGGTAAATTATGATAGTTATGTGAGATATGCGGTATATGATATTAAGATGTTCATTTTATGTTATGATGTTCAATAATTTGTTTTAGTTTTCAGTTTACTTTGTTATATTAATCATCACACCATATCAATATAACCTTATAATGTAAACCATTTATATTTTAATAACATTCAACACTGAATCATATCGTGACCTACAGGAATCACTGCACCATCACAACAACACAATAAGGTGGTCGTCATTTAACATCAAGACATCACCACATCATGGAAAAACTCCATCTTAATATGTCATCACACTCTTACAACATGACTTTATGACGTCTAGTAGCCACCAAAACATCACAATATGATGTCACCACATCATCATAAAAACATCATCTGTCTCCACATTCTCACAATTTTACCTTATCACGAATAATCATCAAGACAGAAAGAAAGTTTACCCACCAAACGAAACCAAACCAACGTTATACGAAATAGATAACCAAATACCTGCTGTAAACCTTGTAGCCATTGTACACGGTTGTAAATTACAATCACGATCACTTCTAGGCTTGTTATAGGGTAGTCTACGACCTGGATTACAGAACAGAAAAATCCATATATATTTTGTATCAACGTGGTTGCATTTTCCGTAACAGGTTGTTGTTTTTGCTTACTCGTATACGAAGTAAAGAAGTATTGTAATCGTGCTAAATAATCGAAATCGGGATTTCGACACATCTTAACGTTTTACACCTCCATGAGTCGGAAAAATTTAGTTTAGAAATATCATCTGTATGTCTGTGTGTCTATGTGTGTCTGTGAACACGGTAACTTGAGTACGTTAACAGTTATGTTGAAGACATTTCACATATTAGAATTACATGAAACTTGTAGTCTTGAATCAACTTGAGGGCGATTTCAGGCAACCGGAAGTAGTACTTACTCTACTTCATGTAACTCAAATGCCAATAACTTGAGTGCGGTTGAAGTTGGGTGGATGAAATTTTACATACATGTATTACATTGTATGCTAGGGGTTTCGATTTTTTTGACGATTTCCGTTAACCTAAATCGATACATTACTCTATTTTCATAGAAATAGGGAACACAATAACTTGAGTGTTGTTTCATTTAGGTAAACGAAATTTTGTATTTTGTATAATTATGATCTTATACTTAGATTACTTTCAATTTTCGAAGGACCCCCCCCAGAATTGGTACCTTACGCGATTAATGATGTCTAAAATAACGATAATATGGGCACAGTGTTATGTGTTATATATATATATATATATATATATATATATATATATATATATATATATATATATATATATATATATAAAATATATATATATACAATATATATGTATATGTATGTATGTATGTATGTATGTATGTATGTATGTATGTATGTATGTGTGTATGTGTATGTCTGTTTGTCTCTCTGTGTCTTTGTGTGTGTGGTGTGTGTGTGTGTAATCCTATATATACATTTTGTGAATTTTAAAACACATTTTTTTACCCTAAACAACGATAGTAGACGGTGGATCTAACCTTTTCTTCTCACCGTGAAAGCCACTGACGAAGCTTAGCCAGTCGTCAACACGGACAGACATACGCGTTGTGTTTTTGTCGCACCTTAGATATCGCCTGCAACCAGAGTTGTCCCCACACTGTATCGCACCCGGATAGCATAGTAGCGTTTTATTCGTTTGATTGAGGGGGACTCACCAACCTGTTAAATGTTAGTAAATGTTGGGATTTTTTGTTTAGGTAAGTAGTGTCGACATGATAATGGCTGTGTCGTTAATTTAGAATCTCATATGTACTCCATATTGACTAATCTGAGAATATTCAATATTTCTGTGGGGGTAGGGGCTGTGCGTATTGATACCCAAGCATTGTTCTCAAACCCAGCCCAGACTATATTACTATTACTAGCTCTACTAATTATCCTTACCTTAACACTAATCTCATAATCTGAATAAAAATTATGATTTTTATAAACCATCAATACTACTATTTCTGACCATATTTTAAAAAGATCTTAATAATGAATGTGAAGTATCTTAATCTCAATAACTAAATTGATGAGCTACCTCCAATATGTATGAAGTTTAGTTTGAGATTAAAAAGATAAGAGCCAGTTTAATGATACGTTTAGGATTGTCTTCGTTAACTGCAGTTGTTCCCTATCTTCTAGTATGACTCTGTAACTACACTGAACCTAAAGGATCTTGCATACATCTAAATCCACACATAAATTACAAAGCATGTTCATAGACAAACACCACTCATATTTTATCGCGATTTCTCAGAAGTGACCGAAGAATGCATATCCGAAAACAAAAGAAGCACAGATAAAATATAACGCTACCAATACACTACTACAATCTTTGGTAACGTCTTGAAATAATCTATATTTTTTTTTATTTCTTGCGCACATTTTGTGTCTACGGATGCGCATTCTTCTGGTCACCTAATACAGCGTGTATACAACTCGCTGGACCACTGCATCCTTTAACAAAAAATAACAAACTGATATTCTAAAACTACTTTAGTATCGATTAATGTATTGGGTATAGATTATCCGGTAGGACCAATAGTGATTTTTTTAAACACTATCACAGACGATCAAAACCCTTGGGAGTTTTAAAATACATCAACTGTAAACACCTTGATAATTATAAAAAAATATGTAATCGATCTTATGAGAGACCAATGCTTTTATTAAAACAAGCAAGGTTATTTTATTTTCTTATTTTCAATGCATTTAAAGCTTAATATTATATGGTGATTTTTTTTTTCTCTTTTAATCACCGGTTTGATATGAATTAGACATTCCGCAGGCTACAACTAAAAATATTTGCGTTTAAATCCTTTAAGTAGCTTGTGATCTCTAAATGACAATTATCTGCCCCTACATAGTTCCATGTCGAAGCTTAGCCTAGCAGGAAGTCAACCATCCGTGACAAGTAACCCTCGAGGGGTCACCCTTTGTTGTCACCCCTTTTACTATTGAATATAGTAAACTTTAAATTTATTTTTAGTGATTAATCAAACATTTATAAATTAAATTTAAAATCCGATATTCTTGTCATTTGCCACCAACTCAGTGGAATAAAAGAAGATACTGTGAATTAAGTAGAGACTTGTAAAAATAATAAACCTGTTTACATTTAATTCAAGCACATTATTTCCCAGCTTGGAAATGTTTATATTGTTCTAATTCTGATGGAGTGGTTTTAAATTCCTTAAGGGGAACATTTATTATAGGGCGAAAAAAAAATCGAAATGGAGATTGTAACAAATCTTGACGCCTTAAACCTTTTTTAGTTGAAAAAGCTTAGGTTTTTTTTTTAAATCGTGTCTACAAGTCTGTCCTTGTGTCTATATGTATGTAAGTATGTCTGCCTGCCTGTCTGTCTGTCTGTTTATCCGTCTGTCCGTCTGTCTGTCTGTCTGTCTGTGTCTCTTTCTCTGTCTCTGTCTCTGTCTCTGTCTCTGTCTCTGTCTCTGTCTCTGTCTCTGTCTCTGTCTCTGTCTGTCCGTCTGTCCGTCCGTCTGTCTGTCTGTCTGTCTCTGTCTCTCTCTCTGTCTCTCCCTCTTTATCTATGTGCGTGTGTGTGTGTGTTTTAACACGATTACTTGTGTACCGTTTTAGATAGGTGGGCCTAAATTTCATCTATAAGTTTTAAATCCTCTACCTATGTTTCTTTTGAGCAATTTCTTGTAACCGAAAAGTGATTAGAAAAAAAAACAGCAGATATTAAATGTAAGAATATTATCTTACAGCTCAGAGATGTTTACTTTTAACTCTATAGCTTAACAAATATTTTCATTAAAGTATGTGTAGCTCTACCCTTCATGTTAACAACTAGTAGGCTTGTAGAACGATTACCTCTGAAGGTGGATAGACAGCACGCTGGGTCGTATTTCTTGTTGATATGGTTCGACTATCTCTACACGTAACTCTAAACGTTAGTGCTAAGTCTAGGGTCGTGGCGCTGTTGTTTCAGGTAAAGGCGTAGTGGCGGTGCTCAGGATAATAAAAAAAAGGTCAGAGTTCGTGTAACAAAAAAGAATTATTTAAATTTAACAACAAAAAATTAAATTTCACAAAAAAAAAATATATTTGTGGAGACCAAACTGATGTGTATTAATTAACAGTGGCATACGGTGTATTAATTAACAGTGGTTTAAGGCGTGTATTTATTAACCTTGTCATTCGATGTGTATTAATTAACCATCACATGAGCTTTACTTTAACAACTATTTTTTTTTACAAAACGTATCATATCTGTGTCGTGATTAGTAAATCTATCTTTGATAAACTAGGAAAAAAACAACAGTGAAACAAATTTATGTTTTATGTTTATTTTCCTAATAAACAAATAACACAGATGCTATTTACAAATTAATCGTAGTGTAATTTTAAATTTTCATAATCTGTGAACCGACAATCTTCACCGTTGTCAAATACGCAGCAAATAGTTAAATATTTACTAAGTAAACTGAAGCCTGCAGCTGAACAGATAGGATATTTCACTTTTTGATGACATGTATTCAAGACCACCGTGGGGTTGTTTAATAACTTTTAAAGTAAACACAAGGGTTGGTCATATTTACCGACATTAATATGACAGGGACATGAGAAAAGATGTATGCGCAATTTTTTGCGCATATAAGGCGGTGGTCTCTGTACGTTATACGCGTGTTTGTCTGCGTGTACTTGTGTACGTGTACGTGTACTTGTGTGCGTGTACGTGTGTACGTGTGTACGTGTGTACGTGTGTACGTGTGTACGTGTGTACGTGTGTACGTGTGTACGTGTGTACGTGTGTACGTGTGTACGTGTGTAAGTGTGTAAGTGTGTACGTTTGTACGTGTGTACGTGTGTACGTGTGTACGTGAATATGTGTGTATGTGTGTAAGTGTGTATGTGTGTACGTGTACGTGTACGTGTACGTGTACGTGTACGTATACGTGTACGTGTACGTGTACTTGAATGTAACTGTTTTGGGTGTATATGCATAAAAACTATGTTATCCTTATACACGGTTATTCGTATGTATGTACAAGTTTAATCAACCTAGATCCGCTTACGCTGCGCATGTCAAATATTTTTTATCTACGGTCTGAATCTTTCCTTGCATGAACCGCTTGTGAGAGATTTCTTCAAATTTACCCCAACCTAAATTTGAATATTTAAATAAGTAAAGTATGCACTTCTTACGCTTATCAAAATTAGATCAGCTATTTTTTTAAGCGTAACAGAAAACTTAGTTTGGCGAAGGAATAATCTGATATGTAAGTAAGCTACTAGGTGTATTTATGAAAGACCATGCGACAGTCTTGCAGATTAATATATTCTACTTAAACGTTAATATTTTCATTAATATTGTTTGTCTCGACCGACACTATATGAGAAGCAGAAGGTGTCCAGTTAATGAAGTAAAAAGACAGAAAGTTTAGCATTGCTCATTATGATGTCTGTAGCTGTGTTATTTCTAGTCGTACCCGCTCAATACGACAGCACGTGTCGTTTTTTATTTTAATAATTTAATATATTGTGTATAAGGAAATGTTATACAGAGGCGAAGCGGGGGGGGGGGGGGGCATATGTCCCCGGGCGCCGACCTCAGGGGGGGGGGCGCCAAAATGTTTGAGGGGGGGGGGTGTGCACATCAAAAGTTCGAGGGGGTGCAAATCGAATGTTTGAAGGGGGGGTGTAAATCGAAAGTTCGAGGGGGGGTGTAAATCGAAAGTTTGTCCCCGGAAAGGGTCGCTACGCCTCTGATGTTATATACAGTGTCCTTTAATTTTCTTTATCAATGCAATTTTCAAGTAGTAGGTTGAGTCGTTTAACGGACGAATCCTTGTTTAAATGATGTTGTTGAAGGCTTTGAAAACATTTGCAATGAAAATGAATGATCTAAAATGTGACATGAGTTTATAAAAATGGTTCTAAAATGTGCACTAAATTTCTTCGTAATTTATGAAGAAACTGGTGGTAGCTGTTATAAATGGTTTAGATTGAGTTAAAGTAGTCGATAAAATGTGCATATAACTTTATAAGGGGTAGAAGTGGGGTGGGGAGGGTGTCAGATTTTTTTTCTATTTGTGCTACATAGCATGACGTCATGACCGTTGTAACATCACCTGTGGGCGTTATCACACCTGTACGAGTTATTTCTGGTCATAAACTTGTCGTATGGGCTCGACGACCTGTTTACTCTCTGTATAGTTATCTTTGTGACTACCTTCAATGTTAAACGTTATCCAAAGTACACTTTGTGTCACGTTTAACTTTAATGGCGTGATACTGATTTTCTAAGGTGAGGCCCAACAGATATAATACCAGGGGGGATAACTCTAAAGTACTTTTCGGAGTTATCTCCCTTATTTTTGTTGATAACCCGTAATAAAAAGGCGGGGTCTAGGGATGACAGCGATGAATAGGACTATGTAAATACATGTTAGAGGCGAAACGGGACGGGTGCAGCCGTTGAATTTTCTCAGACTGGAGGGGGCTATGCATAGGAAAAGGGGGGGGGGATATTTTGTGCGCAATTTATTTTGTTATAGTTCATAAAATATGTGGTTCTTTGGTTGTTATTAAGGTAATAAATTATGGTACTTTCTAGTTTATATGGTACTTTCTCTTTCTATTTTATATGGTACTTTCTCTTTCTAGTTTATATGGTACTTTCTCTTTCTAATTTATATGGTACTTTCTAGTTCATATGGTACATTTTGGGTAATTTAGTACA